GCGATATTTTTTATTTTTTATTCGTGATGATTTATCTACTTAAATTCAAAATTTTGCATATTTTTTTTTGTGAATTTTGACTTTTATAAAAAAAATTCTTTTTGTCACTTTCTAATTGTCACTTTTTTCAGTTATTGGAATTTATTTTTTGACTAATTGTATTCTCAAAATATAACTATGATATTGTGATTAACTTTTTCATTAATTACGATTTACTTTTTTTTTTTGAATTTCGATTTCGTATAGATTATTTTTTTACATGTGTTACCTAAAAAAATACAAAATACAAAATAACATAACCAAATTTTAAGATTTACAAACAACAACAACAATATAGTTCAAATGTTTACAAATAGAAAATATCACAATATGGTTCAACTTTTACGAATAAAAACCGAGTTGAAGTTTTTTTTCACGATCTTTAGTTTTTCTTTCTCGGCTCTCATTCTTGTTTTTCATTTTTGAACACTCCTTGTTCTTCTTTCTCTAAATATTTTGATGACAACTTCACCAAAACTTTATTCATATCACTGAATTCGTAATAGAATTCAGCTTTGAGTATATCAATAATATGCAACAAAACAAGCAGATTCATCAAATGTATAAAAGAATTTGTAACTCATTTCACTATAATTACTTATTGGAAAAAAAACCCTAAAAATTCATGAACTTGTAATTTGTTAATTCCTAAACTTGTAGAGGTGCCTATTAATTCTCAAACTTACAAAATTGAACACATTAAATCCTGAACTTGTTAAACGATTCAATAATCGTCCATAGCACTATTTGGTAAAAAAATGAGTTGACCGATCCGACGTGGCGCGTGACGTGGCGGTAATTTTCTGAGTTGGCTCGCCATGTCATGCGCCACGTCGGATCAGTCAACTCGCTTTTTTGACCAAATAACCTATAGACGATTATGGAACCGTTTAACAAGTTCAGAATTTAACGTGTTCAATTTTGCAAGTTTGAGAATTAATAGGCACCTCTACAATTTTAGGAATTAATTTTACTCTAAAATACAAATTCAGAAATTTTTAGAGTTTTTTCTCTAAAAATATAAAAAAATAAGATAACGAATTACAAGAAGAAGAGGAGTAGCCTAAGTAAATTGTATTGCTACTGTGAACTGTCAAACTATGACATAGTCTGAATCATGTAAAAATACACACATAAATATATATATATATATATAACGACTTTAGTTATATAATTTTAGGCCCAGATTTTAAAATATTTTACAATAATTTCGAAATAGGGAAACACAGCCTTTTTTGAAGTTATAAAAAACATGCAATATCACACCAGTACATTTTGTTATAATAACAACTATATTTTATTATAGAGAAAATAATCTAATAGTGGTAGTTTTTCTATCAAATATTCAAAATCTAAATTGATTATGAATTGTTTTAGAAAAAATATATTAAAAAAGATATTTGAAAAAATACATTTAATTTAGAAATATCCTTTTTAATATAATTTTTTCAAAACCATTTATAATCAAATTAGAAATTAAAAGATACTCATACTTTATTTACAAAAACCCTAAAAATTTATGAACTTATATTTTAGAGTAATATTAATTCTTAAACTTGCAGAGGTGTTTATTAATTCCCAAACTTACAAAATTGAACACGTTAAATCCTGAATTTGTTAAATGGTTCCATAATCGTCCATAACACTATTGGTAACAATGAGTTAACCGATCTGACGTGGCGCGTGACGTAGCGAGCCAACTAAGAAAATTACCGCCACATCATGTGCCACGTCAGATCGGTCAACTCGTTTTTTGACCAAATAGTATTATGGACGATTATGGAACGTTTAACAAGTTCAGGATTTAACGTGTTCAATTTTGGAAGTTTGGGAATTAATAGGCACATCTACAAGTTTAAGAATTAATATTACTCCAAATTACAAGTTTATAAATTTTTAGGGTATTTTTCCCTTACTTATTTGTTATTTCGTATCAGACACTTTGCAAATTCTAAGTTATAATCTGGAATCAATCCACATCATATATATAAAAATTGAGATGAAACTTTCATTGTTCTTCATCGATTTGTTTCAAAATCATCGTTCGGACACTCGTTTATGCACTTTCTCTACCCTTTCCCTTTTTGTTTAGATTTGTAAAACCGTAAAAAACTTAAAATTCAGGTTTTTTCTCTCCTTTTTACTTCTCTATCGAAAAGGATTACCTGCACGTGTATATAGTCTTTTCACTTGCTTTCTTCATTAAGGAGTATTTGGTCTTTTCCAGATTTTTTAAGGGTAAAAAAGATATTTGATAATTGCTTATGTTTTTTTTTTGTTGAATGTGATTGCTATATTACTACCAAAAAATAACCCAAAGGTTTATATGAGTTTAACATGTATAAAAGATTTCAAAAGGTAGTGATTCCTAATGCAACTGAACAAACCCAAAAGAAACTTAAATCTTAGCTATAGCATGTAAAACGATACCATTGTTGGAGGGGGATATTTGATCTGATAGAAACCGGCTTGTGCAAAGATATGAGTATGTTCCTTATTAACCTATCGATCTTGAACCGCAACTGCTGTGGCGAGATTGCGACGTCTTTGTGTATTCGTCCATTACGTTCATTCCAAATCTCGTATACTACTAGCTGCAAGAGAAGGCTGTTGATTAGCTCTATTGCTTATGTTTTTTAGATGTACTATTGAAATAGATGCGACGTGAATTGGACTTAATGAATCCCAATTCATTAAGTGAAATGGTTGATTTATAATTTAGGTCAATTGATTATATGCGAAGTGTATGGTTGTGTATATTTATATATGTTGTGCCTGTATATAAGTTTCTCTTCTTAAGCGTATATTTAAACATACGTCAATGTTTATGTGTGTTTACGTACATAGGTGCAAGTATATGTAGATATTTGCATTTGCGTATAGATATATTGTATTAATATATATATTTATATTTTTTTGGTTGAATATATATACTTATATTGATATGCGTATAAATGTGTATTTGAACGTATTTGTAACATTGTGTACTTTCTGTGTATATGTGGCTATAAATGAATAGCAAGTGTGCGCGTGTACCCGTTATACATGTCTATAGGTGAGTATATATATTCGATAATATATTTATATATACGCGTGAATGTTATACATATATATATATATATATATATATATATTTATGTATGCATATGTACGGTGTATTTTATTTAACCCATTTTGCCATCTAGCTAACAGTCTTGGGTTTTACGAGGAAAGTTCCAAAATGTGCCTTTTTGAAGAGAGAGAGAAAAAAAGGTTTAAAGCTAAGAACTGAAAATGGTCCAATGCGGACGGCGGAGAGACGCCGTGTCGGAGCGGGCACGTCCTCCGACCGGCCATTGTCTTTGGTGGTCCATTAAAGGAAGTGTTCTAACCACATACCACTTTAAATGCTTTTTCGCTCTCAAGGGTCCATTTTGGAGGAGATTTCTGTTGTGACTCACCACTGTGGTCGGGGTTGGTTTGTTATATCTTTGAGGGATTGTGATCTTTTACACTGTTCTAAGAGTTTTCGAATTTAATATTGTGGTCCTAATGTGATCTAGCTGCAATCTCTAGAGCGATTTGTAGAATCTCTATTTATGACTTGTATTACATGTTTATATGTATGCATATATGTATATATATTGATGTATGATTTCGCGAGGGAAACAAAATGTTGGGGGGAAATTTATGCCCTTTGGGTGAAGTGTAGAGACAATCATATGACTATGTCAACTTCAAGGAGTTGATGCAAAAAAGTTTGGCAAAAATCTTTTGTAATGACAACTCATAATGCCATACCTTTGTTTTCCAGCAATTTTGTTTTTATTTGAAAATTTATAATACAAACATATGTCACTTTTAGAATGGATACAAAGACATTCATGATGTCTAATTCATTGGCTCTCCTCTCATCTTTTCAAATTTTTTTAAAAAAAAAAAAAACTGTTGAAAGAGAACTGTTAACCAGAGAGAGAGAGGAACCACAGGCCAAGTACTTTTCTCTCTTGTTATAAATAAACACTTGACTGCTCACACACAATGTGGTGAAACCTCAAAAATCCTACATACCTTTCTCACATCACATTCTTGTCGTTCCATGCTCAACAACAGCACATTCTCTCGAGTCCCTCTTTTTGAAACAGAAGCTCTGAAATGGAGAAAGCTAAGGCCGCCGGGATCGTGACGGAGGTTGCTCCGGCGAAATTCATATCGGCAGTGGCGGCTATGAGGAGGCCATTCAAGAAGATATTGGCCACCATCTCTGAGGAAGACATTTGTTTTCATGGAGTGGCGGCCGGAGAACGCCTCTCTTCTTCGTGTCCAGACTCATGGCCGCTCGGCTTTTACGCTAAGGCCGAGAGACTCTTCTTCTTGGAATATTGACTTGAGTTCCCCTCCAAACCTTCCTTCTCATGAAGAAACTCTCACTATTTGAATAAAAAGAAAAGGAAGATGATTCTTACAAGCATTTAAGAGTTGTTGTTTTTTTTTTTACTATTGCTCTTTGCTGTTGAATCTTTCTCCTCTCTTGTAACCGTTGTTTTGCTAATAAAAATCAGTGTCATTTTTTTTACATTTACAAAAAAACAGTGAAAGTGGAGGAAGTGGGTAAAACATTGCGTTTGGTATCCCAGTGGAGAGCACTCGTCACAAAACATGGTTACATGATCGATGAGTACTTTGGAACAGGAGTCACAACCCAAGAGTATGGACACATACATTACACGCTAAAGCTAAACAAGTGAGTCGGAGGGGTGAGCATTCCGCCCGGTTATGATAAAAACCAAGCAATTAATATATTTTCAAAAACTGAAAAATCAAACCTCAACTCAATATAAAATAACTGTACATTTCTTTAGACAATGAATATTTTATCACTTACAATCCAAACCGGATCAAAACCAAAACAGAATCGAACGAAACTAACACAAAACATGAATGGATATAGATTTTATAAAACTGAAAAAAAAAAAACGAAATCCGAAATACCCACTCAGAGAGAACCCAAGAGGAGTCCATATATCCACACAGATTAACATCTGTGCGAAGCTGAATCGTTTGATAATAACTGTTTCCTTTTACACAAACTGATGATTTCTAACCTTTCTTTTTTTTTCCCCCATATTTACCTTTTTACTCTCAACGCACCTCAACCTCCAAATGCACAAATCCTTCTCGCTCTCTCTACTCGTTACTTAGCAGTAAGTGAAACTTTGAGACCACTACCCAAGTTGGGGTAGCAGAACATGCAAATCATATTATTATCCCGGGTTCAAACCCAATCGTAGAGAGGGATATTCACCCGAACTTCCCCAATGCTATGAAAGATGTAGTTGGACTAAATACCTAGTGAAATTCCGGATTATCAGAAAAACAAAACTTTGAGACCACGGCACAAAGATAAAATATAGAATTTTAGCAACATTATTAGGCAACACTCACTCAGCTCTGAAAGGAATGTAAAAGAAAAAGCTTCGTTTTGTAAGAAGAAGATGTACCAGGAAACATGGTTTCAGTAATGGTCAAGAACGCAAAGAGTCTCTCTCATTGCCAAAATCCGAAAGACGTTTCACGAGCTCTGCTTTCAACGACTCAGGAATCTCGGAGTTAAAACGTGATTTTGCATCCGTAATCAGCCTCCTCCTGCAACCAAAAAAAATGGAAAGAAATGATGTAAATTATAAAAATAGATATAGGATTGTTCCATCAACGATAAAACAACCAGAATCACACTCAATGAAATTTTTTAACCACAGAATTTCTTGTCTATTCAAACTTCTTTCTGTGTTGAAAGAAAAATCGATAAAAGAAAAAGGGTACTATAACTCACTTTAATTCGCTGCCATCTAGGCCATCTCCTGCTTCTTCTGTATACAACCTCTTCCTCCCATGCATGGAAGCTTGAACTTTATCATACCATCCACAAGATCGCAAATATGAAGCAGCATCTTTCTTGAGGCTGAGACATAACGAGAAAAGATGATAAGAAGTTAGCCACGGTACAGAGAATCAATCTCTCGAGTGCTCTTCTCAACAGATAAAATCATATACCATTGCAGGTGCAAATCAAACAAGAGACAAAAATACTTAATAGTCCCCCACTGAAGATAACAATTCTAACAATACATGAGATCCACAAGACCTAGTTTCTGCAACTAAAGCTACCTAGGAAGAAACGGGACTTGGTGACTCAACTGCAGGTCAGAACATAACTTACGCAATTTATTAAAGGGCTCAATTCTATCATCAAATGCCTACAAACTAGGGGGTTAAAATGGAATTAGTCTAGATTGATTATATTGGAAACTAATTGGAGAAACAGTAAAGACAGGATGGGATTACCTCTCTTTTAGTGCTTCAACTTTAACACGAAATAAATCATCTTTCCGAAGAAAAACATGTGAATCTTCATCCAGTTTTCTCCTGGAACCCAAGGTTTTGGGCAGGGTAGTGGCAATGCCGTTCTCAACTTCATGGAGATCAGTCCCATTGCCTGAGCCGCTACTCTCGTGGGGATGTAGCTTACCTACATGATTATCATTATGACCCTGAGCGTTACCATTCTCTCTAATTCCGGAGAAATCATTTTCAGCATCAACCATTTTGTCTGTGCCAGATGAACCTCTAGTTGGCGGAAGTGATACGTTCTTCTCTTTTTCTGCTTGGATCAAATCTTTCCCAACCCGCTTAGCAACAATGGTTTGATCTTTCTGGATAGCAAGTCTACCATTCATAGTTGGACGTACCCTTTTGACACCAAGGTTCACAGAAAAATTGACCTTTGCATGCGGTCTTAAAGAGGCTTTTTCAACTTTAGAAGTAGCCGAGTTCTCCTTTCGGAAGGATTGACGTTCATCTCGTGTTTTCGTGCTACCATCTTTAACGGATCTAACAGGTTTCAGGGACTTTGATGTCTCGCGTCGATTACTTTCACGAGACATGACCCCATTGGATGCTACCAAAGTTCTAGAAGATACTGGCCTTTGGTTGGAACGACAGAAGAAAAGAATATAAGCTTTCTCTGACAACACCTCCTGCACGTTGGAAAGTGACACAAGCGAATCATTGCAGCAGTACCATCGACCCAAGGCATCCTACACACGGCAGATAGAAACATCAGAAAACAATTATAGTAGTTTTACGTTGCCTAAACAGGACAGAAAAGAACCTTAATGTATGCGTAATAGTGCCCAGATTCAGGTGAGAATCCTGAATGCACAATTGTCCCGAAAAGCTTGTATTCTGGTCGAGGATCCTGCATTTCCAACATGGAAAACCGATTAAGAAAAAACAGGTTCGTAGACGGCAAAGCCACATCAGAGCCAGAAAGCACTCTAAAAATATAGGTCAAAGAAATGCTACATACATGTAAGACGGTAACGCCAATGTATCAGAAGGAAAATGTTTGTACCAAGGATCGAGTAGAATTCATGGGAAGGAATTTGCAAGCATCAATTGGAACATAAGTTTTGAGGCCAATGCCGCAAATATTCCGAAAATAAACTGAAAACATCACACTCAAGTTAGCTGCATGACCACACTAGTCTTATCATCCAACAATAATATGTAATAAGATAACATCAGATTCATGCCTGAGAAGTATATCATATCCTGTAACCTATTTGCGCAGTGATTTAAGGGATACAAAAGTAGTTGCACAACTGCTCTTTCAAAGTCGAACTCAGGCATCTTAGATTCTTAATAAAACGGATATAAACATACACAACAGATTCTTCCAAATTCTGCACAGGCCTTGTAAATCCAGATGCGATAAATTCATTCTACAATGCTACATGACAATCTTCTACCAAAAAGCCAAACCATATCAAGTTAAAACACCACATAAACACCATACTAAACTACTATTTTGGACCAACAATTACAAATCCTGACACAGTCTACGGGATTACACTCCTCAACTTTCTAATATATGTTTTTCATGTTCTCAGAATGAACAATGATCCACATCATCAAGAGTACAAGCCATGTCGTAAAAATCAAACTACACATGACTAGCAAACTTTATTTACTTTGAAAGTGTCAGAACAAGCACCTTGCTTATTTTATTCATGAAGCTCGATAGTACCAGAACTTCATCAAATGCAATAGCCTTATCAATCTTCCCACCAAATATGCCCTCAAACCTCTGCAAAACAAATAAGAAACCTCCCTCAGATTCGAAAGTAGCACCTCTAGATTGAAAAAGTAAACACTTGTACTTAAAAAAACATTAACATAGCGTACTCACTTTCAATTGGATAACAAGGATATTAGGCGCTTGGAGTACTGACATTTGTTTCCTTGCGACCACCAATTTCTTGCAGCTGAACAAGTAGAAATGATTTTTTAAGAGAGAAAAGAAACGGTGGACTCAAACGGAATGGCGGAGAGATAGAACAAGAAGAGTCAAATTACTTACCTCTCACATTTATACTTGTTGTTGGCATCTAAAATCTCTGGCCGAAAGAACTTAAGCATTGACTCCTTAAGAGAATTACTCTGCAAAATTTCAAGACTGATATCCATAATCTCATCTGACTTATTGGATTCCACCCCGCATGACAAACACTTGACCTGACTCAGCAAAGCACCGCCAAAAATCTCCTTAACTACAGTGTTGCCATTGAAGGGCTCGGTTCCTTTCCATCGCAACTTCTTCAGGCGAAGACAAGTATCGTGGCATGCATCAATCACATACCGCAAGAACTCATGAGCGTCTTCTTGACGCCCAAACTTAAAATGCTCGGCAAAAATTTTGAGGCACTTAAGAATCTTGTTAGGTGCGTCCAGTGTGAGATCGACACTAAGAGACCTTGCTATTCTTTTCTCAAGTATACAAAAAGCACAGTCGCGTTTCCATTCCCCATCCAAAACAGAGTCGCCTGTTAGAACATTACACACAATGCCAAACAGAAATTGCATCACCAACACAGCCATAGAGCCACAAATACATGAACTAAGTAAAGAAATAACAACTAGGGGTGGCCAATTTGATTAATAACAGAACCGATCCGAACTGAATAGCACATAACCGTAATCAAATCAAATACGATATAAAAACCAGATGGATATGATTTCCGTCGACAGTTCTACAACTGAAAAACTGAACCCGAACCAAAACGAATAAAAAGAATGACAGAAAAAACCAATAAAAGTCTTCAAATATGGTATTTTTATCAATAAAAACTGAGTTCGAACCGAAATCGAACTGAATCAAATTAGATACCGAAATAACCGGATCAAACCCGAAATGGCCACCCTAACTACCGGTAACAGTAGAATTAGCCTGCCATCAGGGTCAGAAAGGAAACATATGAAATCTTCCAATTAGCCATTCATTAAGGTCTCTAAACAAACTACAGATTCCGCATAATTTTAAACCAGAATACAGAGGACAGCCCTAATTCGATCTGAAATTGACGAACAGGACTAAAATGAGACCAGAAAACAGCGATTCAGCTCGTAGATGTAATAGAAACCACTGGTCTAATACAAAATCAATCGACGGAGCCTAAGGGACAGAGAGACGTACAGAGAGAAGAGTGCTCGTGAGAGAGACAGAAATTGGCGAGAGGCGGGGTGTAAGTGAGGCACTGAAGGACGCTGTTAAGGTAACAGGTGTTGCCGAGGTTCCGCAACCCTAGAGGCGGACCGTTCTTACGCTTCTGACTCAGAAGACGCGGCATCCAGCTCATCTGCAGTTTGAATCCAATCAAGACTCCCACCTCTTCCGCAACCGCTCATCCCTCGATCGCCGCGAACGCATAACAACACTCCCTCCTCCGCTGCCGTCAACCTCCGCGAGTTTTCCCGCTTTTCCTTCTCTCTCTCTTCCACGCGATTCGAATTCCTAAACTATCAATGCGGTTATCGGAATTTCTGGTAGACGATTCAATGATTTGGGGAAGATCTTCGTGAGATCGATTGGAGGAGGTGGTGGTGGTGAGCTGTGGAGGAAAGAGAACCGCCTGCAACAAACCCCACGAATCCCTCACGAGGCTTCGTTTTCTCTACTTTCTTCCCTCTTTCGGTTTTTTATTATTCGTATTTATTTTCAGGTAGATTAAAGAACAATAAAAACAGAGGGGGGGGGGGGGG